GAGGCAGCTGAACCGGGGGGGGGGGGGGGCGGGTTCATTCAACCCAGTCATGTGTCCCCACCCTCCTCTGTAACTATTCTCATGAGTCACTTGATTTTGACCTGAATCAGTACAAGGCTATGCATTAAATTCAGCCAAATCCTGAATGACCAACTGAATCAGGTCTCTGTGGAAAGTTTTGGGAGAGGTCTGAGTCAAGCATGGCTCCTTGAAAGCACAACAGATCCATATTTGAACACTCCTGGTTTTGGGATTTGGAGACACACTGAGTCACAAACAGTGTGCATCCAGTGACAGTGTGTTCAGTACACTTTGCCAGCAATTTCTCTCAGGAGCAGGAATGTTGAAAAAAAATTGGTGGAGTCAGTTGGACCTTGGGGGAAGTTAATCATTTGCCCTGTTCAACATCTGAATGTTTCCCTGCCACAAAAATGGTTATACCCGTCTTTCCAAGAAGTTGCCTGTCTCTTGGCTAAGGCCACCTCTAGGTTGCAATGAAGTTCCATGGAATCCATTCCTCCAGCATTCATGGACTTCGTCTCCTGCTTATCCCTGTCTTAGAAAGCCACTGAGCCAAGAGGAAGTCCATGGAACAAAGGGTGAAAACTTGCATCCTCCTGCATCATATGCAGCAGCACAAAGAGGCGCCACTTGTGCAGAAATCACATGGGGTGATTCCTAGGGAGCCCTGCCAGACTCCTGGGAGTGCTCACCTGACACTTGGACTCAGGGCCCTGACAAAGTGGACCAAAATCCAGGGAGCTGAGCCCAGGGGATCCAACAGATTCCCACCCCCCAAAACAGGCCCCTCATACATCCCCAGCCACTTCTATCCTGTGCATCCCTTTCATAACAATTATCCACCAAAGAAGAAAGACAAGATCACCCTCTTTGGGCTACTCTGAAATGTAAAACATGCTCTTATACAGTTTTCCCTGTACATAATCATCTGAGGACAAGATAAACATCTAATCAGAGGATGTCTCCAAATGCAGGAATATCCTCTTCAAACTAAGAAGCATCGTAGGGTGGGCGCGTGTCCTTCCTTACAGTGGAAAGACTTCTCTTTGGAAGGCTGTTGGAGGACAGCTCTCCCATTAAAGGTGTCTTCTGTTTGAAGGGCAGCCCAGTTCAAAAGCAGGAGCCATTAGAAAAGAGAGCCCAGGTGTAGAAGTTGCCCATCAGGAGTTAGCACCTGGGCAGGAATGTGAGCAGGTGTAATCACCATCTTACCACCACTTCCATGCTGAGCTGCATTATATTTCTTTTTTAAATGCAGGAGTTATTTCTACGTTTAGATCTAGACATCTGCATTAGCAGATGGACATTTTTATCTAAGCCTGTGCCCTATTCAGTAGTACGTTTTTATTTAAATAAAAAATTTCAACCTAAAAAAAAAAAAAAATTCAACCTATTCAGTCCTCTTTCTGGTGATGTGCAAGAACCCCCCCAAGCCCCCTCCCCACATGGTCACCTGATTTCCTGCATATGGAAATCTAGGTGCCAGGAGGGAGGCTTGGTCGGAAGACCTCCTTACTCATGGCAGGTTCTCTGTGTGGAGCAACTGTGTGCATTGTGAAGATGATTCGGTCGTGTGATTCCCCAACCTGCGCTCTGCACTGCAGCTTCATGGACGAGCTCGTTTGCTAGGCCTTCCTCGCCTTTCTCTGTGGGCAAGATAATGGCTAGACAGAGCAGCCGCACGTAGATCTTCTCAGAAGCAATTTCTGCTGAATTCAGTTCATCACAGGGAGCAGTCCTTGGCCCCCTGAGTTTGTCCAAGGGGACCCGGAAGATGCGGGATTCTACCTTTCATGGCCAGGGACAGTATTCTGACTTCAGAAGGGGCAGTCTAGCCTCCCCCTTCCACAGCTGCAGCAAAACGAACCATGCAGGCTGCCCCTGAGGTCAAAAAGGTTACCCCTGAGAGTGGGGAAAGGGAAATTTCTTGGGCAGGAAATCTGAGAGGCCAGAGGGGGCCTGTTTGGAGTCATTTCCGGACTCTGCTCCTCTCGCTCCAAAAGTGCCATCACTGGACAAGGCAAAGCGACCTGTCCAGCAAACAGTGCATGTGGGAAAGACAAAAGGCAGAGGTGGCCTCTGCCGCTTCTCCCATCCTGAATTGGTTGCTCAGTTGCTGCTGGGGGCTTCTGATCTTTAGGGATGCCATTGTCAGGGCTGTGTCCCTACTCCCATAAGTTGCATATTTAACCACAGCCCAAAGCTGTCATTTTTCTCTGGTGAACCTCTAGAGATTTTCTCTAGGTGAATCTACTCCTGGTTTGACAATGTCAGATGGGAAGAAGTGAAAACAAAATGATCTACTTGGTTTGGATGTTTATTAATTGCTAATGAGCTTGTGCTCCATTTGTAGGATGCATTCTAAGTCCTGCTGAAATCAATGACAGGCCTTTCATTGACTTTGTATGGAATTTGGATCATGTCCTATAGCTGCAGACGCCACAGAAAAGGTCATTTCATTTAATCCCCAGCCTTCTTTTTATTGCAATTGTCGCTAAAAGGAAAAGAAATGATTTCTAATCAATGTCCCGTGTTCTTTCCCTTAAGACTCAAAGGCCTGCTCATAGAAAAGAAGGCAGAGATCAGCTGTTCCTATATTGTCTTTCTGGTTAGGGCTGATCACTGACCAGGAGGAGGGGAAAAATTCTGGCCGGGTTTTTGACTTCTTGCCAGAATTCCTTGCATAAAAGTCAGCTTTTATTCAAATTGTGTCCTTATAAAAGCACAAGTCTGCAGGTGTACAAAGGAGTCTCCTTGTTAGTATCATGCTGTACTGTGTAGTTGCATCTCTAGGATACAGGTAGAGAAGGGGAGACATTTGTTCAAGTCTCAAGTTGAAATTCAGTTCTTTTTGAAATGTGCACTTCTCCCAGTTTTGCAATGGAGTCCTCGCAGAATAATAAAAGCACTCATGATGCACATGTACACGCACGCACTCACGCGTGTGCACACATACACACAAGAAAAATCATTTTAAGATGCATAATGTATGGGAAAACGCACAGCAAAATGCATGCATGAGGAGAAAAGGGTGCAAAGCTGCTGATGAAAGTACGTGGGACAAATTGAACTTAAGAGTGGAGAAATGAGAAACAGAGAACTGGATATTGACAGATGGGTCCAGACTTAGCTACATGTGGGTGGTTCCTCTGTTGCCGTTCCCCGTGGACTCTGCTAAACCGAGGATGGGTGGGGCCTACAGGTGCCGCTGCAACATGCCAAGGCGTGGATGCTCGCCACAGCCACCCCGCAGCCTCTGCTGGGGACCTGGCGTTCTGCCGCCTTTGCACGCTCCCTCTTGCCCTCTCTCACTCATTATCCCCTCCCCCCTCCAGCTATCAGACTTGATCCAGCAGCAGTTCTGAACCACCCCCTTCCTCATCGCACGCACAACGCCCCAGTCCTGCAGCGCTGCCTGCATTTGCCGTCCACCCCTCAAAGAGTCACGTCCACTTCTTGTCTGTGCCTGAAATGGTGCCATGGCTTAAATGCTCTCCTAAGTGTTCTTAGGAGATCCATACTATCCTATCCTTCTCCAGGCCATGACCCAGACCGTCCTTCTCCAGCCCATGATCCAGACCGTCCTTCTCCAGCCCATGATCCAGACCGTCCTTCTCCAGCAGCCCATGATCCAGACCATCCTTCTCCAGCCCATGATCCAGACCGTCCTTCTCCAGCCCATGATCCAGACTGTCCTTGCATTTATTGATTAATCTCTTGGCATACCATTCCCCTCAAAAGAATACTCAGTGTGGCTCAGGGACGCAACATGCTCCATCTAGGAGAGGCCTTTCACAGCTATCCTTGCTCCGGGTGCAGAAAGGCTTGGTTCTGCTGGTGGTGAGGAGCAGCAGCAATGGCAGATGAGGGCAGGGCAGATCCCCCCAACTTGGCGCCCAGCAGGTGTTCGGGTTCGGCATCTCCCATGAACTCCAACAGGTTGGTCAACAGGATCAGGTGGTCAATAACACCCACATCACGTAAGAATGGAGACAGAAACTACGACTTAACCAGGATATTTTTTTCCTGCACCAACAGCAGTACAGGGAGGAGAAATGAATCAAATTGCAGCCATCCTCTAATTTTGTGTAACTGGTTCAGGTGACAGTCTACTGGGTTTTTTCCTCTAAGCCTTGAATGCCTGGTAAGATCTTTTGCTTGCAAAAACAACCCACAGGAGAGTGAAAGGAGTATTAGTATATAAAGGATGAATTGCTTTCAGATTCAATCATCATTCTGTCCAGGAAATGGCATCCCACTACCTAATGACAAGCCCTGAGGATTTAGAATAAGTTCAGCAACAAATAATATACTGGAGCTTTAACCCGAACCTGTATTTGATTCAAATTACTCATGCTGTGGTAGTTTAGCTATGCATCCTTCTTTAGATTCGCTTGATCAAAACTGGCAGGCAAAATACAGTGAGTGGTGACAATTAATCTCTTCGAGTGGAGAGGAGGGAAAGAGCAGGATGTGGCATGATCTTGCAGTCTCTTTTCCAACAACGTGTGCTGCCAGGGTCAACACATCACCCCAAAGGATTTACACAGGTAAGAATAATGTGACCTTTGAAATCTGCAGATCAAGAACCGCAAGTGAGTTTGTCCTCCCAGGAGAAATGCCAATCAAATGCCGACAAAACGCTGACATGCATTTCGTTAGCGGTGGTTCAATCCATCCTGCGGCTTGGCCTATTTTCCTTTCTGAAAAGCGATGTCAAATCATGGCAAGTGCTGCAGGTAATCCTGGAGGGAAGCACACGTCAGGATTTTAATTGCACCCATTATGCATCCTTCGTTGTCACCATGCTTGGTAATCGCTCACTCAGAAGAAGGCAACGAGTTGTTCTCTCCTGCCCCTGGGGACTGGGCTAGATCTCACGGACTGAAGGCAAAGAAGGGTAGATTTTGGTTGAACATTAGGAGACACTTCTCGAAGGGAAGAACACTTGGACAATGGAGCCACTTAGCTAAAGGCAGAGCTGGTCTTGCTTGTTCTCATATAACCCCAGTTCTCCATCAGCTTCCCTGGCTCCCGATTGAACTCCGGACCCAATTCAGGGTGTTGCTTATGACCTATAAAGCCCTCAACGACTTGGGACCTGGTTATCTAAAGGAACGCTTGTGTCCATATATGCCCTCCAGCCCCTTGGGATGGGCAACAGATGCCCTTCTCCGGGAACCCTCCGTGAATGAGATTAGGAGGGTGAGTACCCGGAGGAGGGCCTTCTCTGCGGTGGCGCCCCACCTATGGAATGCGCTCCCCAGAGAGGTCTGCCTGGCGCCGTCGTTATTTGTTTTTTGGCACCAGGCTAAGACCTTTTTATTTAAAACTTATTTTAATTGTTAATTTATTATGTATTTATAGGATTTTAAATTTTTAGCTGAGATGTTACCGGGCTTTTTAATCTTTATTGTATTTAGTGTTATTTATACTCTTTTAATTATGTTGTGAGCCAGCCCGAGGCTTTGTGGCAATGGGGGCAGCACAGAAATGTTTTAAATAAATAAATAAATAAACTACAGGTGGGTACCGCATATGCCATGTACAGAAGTCAGTACAGCTGGGCTGGTAGTTGAGCGTAACTTCATTAATGGTGCTGGGACAGCAACTGCATTGCTTTGGGGGGCAGGAAGCCAGCCTAGGGAGCCCAGGGAAGGTGGAGCAGCATATGATGCTCCGCCCTCCAACACTGCTCCCCCGTTCCTCAGCATCTCCTGCTCGAGGTGAGCTTTTCTGCCTGTCGAATGGCAGGGCTGGTCTTGCTTAGAAGGCTGGCAGCTTTTTTCTACCTGGAGGTCTTCAAAGAGAGGCTGCTGCAGTTCTGAGTTTTCTGAATCAAGTGGTGGTCAGGTGAGATGGCTTCCAAGAGCCACATAATGGATCTAGGTCGGGGCTTCCCAACCTGGGGTGCAAGATGGAATTTCAGGGAGTGTGATAAAAAGGAAGGCTCTGTTGTGATTTGCCCAAATTGGCAAACCACAATGTTTTTCACCAACAATTATCCCAATGATAAATTATTTATTATTATTTTGTTTGCATTTGGGTTCAGTTCTCTTTTGCCAATCAAGACAAAATCAAGGAATCGCCTGAATGCACAGGCAGACTTGCAGATCACAATCAGCGAGCAAGTTCCATGTTTTGACAAAATCATTAATGAGAAGCAGGAACAAAGAAGTCATTGAATTTTATGTTCACAACTGGGACTGATTTTACTATTTACATTTTTTCTAATTGCTCTATATTTGAATGTTATGCACTGAGTTAAAAGCATATTTTTTGAGTTCAATTTGTTCACCCGCAGTATTGTATGTGGTTCAAAAAAAGAAAGTTGACTTCTTCATCTTCAGATATGATATTATTTCTGTAGGGGGGTGTGAGCATATATCAAACATTTTCTAGAGGTGCAGGGCATAGAAAGGCTGGGAACCACAGGACTAGGACACTGAATGGACACTGTAGATCAGGCATGGGGAACCTCTGGTCTGGGGGCCAGATTGCCGCCTGGCATGTGGTAGTTTCCCAGTGGAGCTGCAGGGACAGGGGGAGGCTGGGCCTGCAGGGGTGCGTGAGTGCTGCCCTGCTCAGAGGAAGTACGTACTCCCTGAAACTGGTTGTGTGATGGGGCAGCTGCTTTCCACCCGAGCTCCAAGGAGTGAAGATGACCGAGCCATTTCAGCTTTACCTGGCCCACATCATTCCTCACCTGGCTGAGGCACTGGGTGGATCCTCCATGAGGCATTTTGGCCTGGTAAGGTTTGTCAAGCATGCGCTTTCCCCAGTGCAAAGGTCTGAGGCAGCGGTCCACTGGCTAAGGGACCCCCCCCCCCCGCACACACACAACTACTTTCCCACTTCTCGCTTGTATCCTTCTACATGCAGCTAGCATGGGAATGCCTTAGACAGAATGATTCTTTTTCCTGCCAAGAGAAGAATATCGCATGGGGTCTCCCTCCCTCCCTCTCAGTCTCTCTCACACACACAGAGTGCAAGTTATTAGATATATTCTCTCCTTCTAGGCAGATCCAGAATAATATTTCTTCTGTTTCCTGTCTGGCAGAAATTGATGGCAGGACTCTTTATTAAATCAAGTTTATTAAAGTTTAAATGCAAATATATCAAAATACACATCGACTAAACTCTAAGCAATATTCCTCCCCGCAAAAGTCATGTAATGCAGCATTGATCATGTTCACAGTCTGGCTGTTTAGCTTCTGTCATTGATTTGAAATCCCACTGATCTTGATATAGTGATGCATCCTATATAAAAAGATGCATCCATTAAAAATGATGCTTAACATATCCTTTAGGATTTACCTTTCAGGATTTAGTCAATAAAGGTTATCTAGATTTGATCAAATGCACTTGAAGTAATTTTGCCCCTTCAGACTCTCTTACAAATGAGGACAAGCAACCAGTGGTCACGCATCTAGTTTATAATGTAAAAAATCAAAAACAACTGGATGCAGGATAGCTGATCATGGCTTGAGTGACACAGCAGGCACACTGTCTAGGTACATATTTATTCTCTTATAAATTGTGATCTCATTTTGTTGTTGCAATGTGTTGTCAAGCTGTCTCCGACTTACAGAGACCCTGTGAATGAATTCTACCCCCACCCCCCACAAATGTTCTGATCTTGTCAGCCCCGCTCAGGTCTTATAAACTCAATGCTGCAGCTTCCTTTATTTATCTTCTACTTCTTTCCTTTTAAAGAACTCAAAGCAGCTCACATCACTAACATAGAAACATAGAAACAGAGCGAGTCAGAAGGGGCCTCCACTCACGACATGCCCACCATGTGCATGTCCGGCCTATCCTTGAACACCCTCACCGATGGGGCCTCAACAACCTCTCGTGGAAGCCCCTTCCACACCCTCGGCGTCCTGACTGTCAGGAAGCGCTTCCTGGCATCCAAATGGAACCTTGGCTCCCTGAGCTTTGCTCTGTTGGAGCGCGTCATTCTCTTCCTTTTGCTTTCAGTCGTATGCTCACAACAACAACCCTGCGAGGTGGGTTGGGCTAAGAGTCTGTGACTGGCCCAAAGTCACCCAATTGGCTCCATGGCTTTCTCCATCCACTAGAACCTGGATCGCCTGAGACCCACACTCTTAACCACTACACCACACGGGCTTTTTGCACATGGGGCCCAACCATCTCATGTTTGGTCTTCCTTTTCTCCTGCTGCCTTCCACCTTGCCTGGCACGGTTGTCTCCTCCGGTGAGTCCTGCCGTCTTGTGATGTGTCCAAAGTATGGCAGCTTGCTAAAGAGCAAACAAACTATCCCTTAGTTTGGATGTATTTCTTTATTTAAAATATGTTCGGAGCAGAGTGCTTGAGGCAATGCGCAATCAAAATACATGCAATTATAGAAACCTAAATCATATTGAAAAACCAAGGATTAAGGATGAGCACAAAGAAGCAGAAGAATATACACTTTGCCGGCTGTTGAAGGGGCACCCAGGAAGAGGCTAGCCTGTTTTGTCTGGGCCGAGACTTCTGGAGAGGAAACGCCACCAAAAGCTAGCAAAGCTTGCAAGTTCCTCAAATACAAGCCACCTTCAAGTCCTTGCAAGAGGAAAAAAGCAGACTATAAATGCATAATAATAATAATCAGCACAGCAGCCCTGAAAGGCAGGCCTCTACGAATGATCCTCATATCGAAGCCGGAAGTGGAGATATTGGTCACTGAGGGGATCGGGGCAACCTATGCACGTTTAGCCTGGGAAAAGACGTGCAACTCCCAGTGTTCATCATCAGATCTTTTCGGTCCAAGTCTGCGTGAGACTTTGCCCTGTGGGTCTTGTAGCGGCATCAGATGAATCTGCTAGTCTTTAGAAAGTGCCCTGTGACTCTTTGCTGGCTTTGCTGAGGCAGGCGTCACGCAGCTTCCTTGCTGGAAGCCGAGAAGATATCATTGCTCAGAGCTCTTCTTTATTCACTGCATTATTTGTTTTTTGTACCTCCCAAAGCTGAAGAAACAAAAGAAACCACAGAAGCAAAACAGAACCTTTAAGCAACTTAAATAATTGAGGGAAATTAATACAGCTAGGTTTGTTAAAAACAGATGACTCCTCATGTCCTGGGTGTTATTTAGAGCTCTTAAATGTCTCAGCAGAGAGAACAGCGCTGAAAAGATAGCAGAGTTGAAGCCAGCCAGGCCTGGGCGAGGAGATCATCCCGTAATTGGGGGGCTGCCGCAGAGAAGGCCCTCTTGCTTGCTGCTCCCATAGTACCTGGGTAGACTGCAGTTGGGAGAGGCATTCCAACAGGTGTTGTGGACCTGAATAGTGGCTTGCGTGAGTTGGCAAGTAAATCAGTGGCTAAGGCGGGGTGGGCCATGGCCCCTTCCCTTCTTTATGGACCCTGCTATCTCCACCACTGCATTCGCTGCAATGGCAGCAGAACCAAACAGATTTTGTCAATTTACCACCAAAATGCAGTGGCAGCGGGATTGTTCATCCTTGAGTGCTAACTAGGTCCTTCTTTTGCTAGCACAAATTCCAGTAGCAAACAAAAATTTTGTTTTCTAGTCCTGTGGACAAGATGCTGCCCAATTTTGGTGGAGACTTTGGCAGTGCAGCTGTGGGAAGTGGTGGTCTGCCCTCCCCGTGGGATCTTGGAGAAGTGAATTCTAGGGATGAGCTGGGACTAGAAGCTGGAGCTTCCAGATCCCGAGTCCGGCACTGTAACCACTACACTACCTCTCCAATCCAGCAAGAAAGCTCTGCTCTCTCTGGAGTGTGTGTATGTAGGTATGTGTGTACATAAGCACACAACAATTACATAGCCAATGCACACGGGTTGCCTCTTTTGCAGAGCTGCTTTTCGTTCCAAGCCCACGGGGCAAATGGCAGCCAGCCTGGGAAATCTTTCCAAGTCAGCCTCAAGGGCCTTGTCTGCCCAGGTTCGTGGCCCTTCCAGGCAGCTCACGGTTGAACTAGATAATTAAAAAAAAAAAAAAGCTTGGGATTCTTTATGCTTTCCAAATTGAAGTGTGGGAGGGAGATTATGTTACCTTGTGAGGCAGGTGAAAAGGGTTGTGTGTGTATTAGCCACCCAGAGAGTTTACCCAATTAATGGGTGAAGTAGAAATTTAATCAATCAATCAATCAGGAAAATTTCAAGAGTTGCACCGT